TACATTATTCCGTACATACTTTTAGTGTCGGTTACGCTTGCTTGCAATATGGGCTTCACACATATTTTATTTTAATTTTCTGCTTTACGGGAGTTTTATCCAATTCTACAAATATTTCAAAACGCGGTGAGCCATTCTTTACGAAGAATATGAACTATTTCTACTGCAATTATATTACTTCTAATTGCAGGTGGAGAATGAGGCCACACCCTTCATAGAGATCGGTAGTAAATTTTATTTAATAAATACTGCTGCTACGGTAATTTACTTCGAAGTTTGAAATTTTAAATTTTATAATTCAAGTCTTTCAATTAAAGATGAATTGGTTTGGTGCGGCGCTTTATTGTCGCAACTTTGATAGTGATTTGGCCGTTATCGAGTCGCAGCTGAGATGAATGCACTAAGTTTCTATTTAACCACGAATGAGGTCACATTGGTAAATATTTTTGGCTTTGGTCACGACTTGGCGGAAGAGGGTAAATTTATGTCACTCAAGACGGACGTCCAATGCTCTATGCTAAATGGTCAGGTGGTCAACCAGATAACGCCGGTCAAAATGAAGATTGTTACATCTTTGGGCCGTTAATAATATATTTCATATGAACGATAACGATTGCATGGCTAAGCTTTATGCCATCTGTGAGTTGCGACAACTAAGGAAGGCGACGTGTGTGACTTGAAAATTTTATGGAAGATTCATGCAACATACAAATGTTCTAACTGTCGAAATTAGTTAAAGGCAGAACCAATTAATAAAATTATTTAATAACGATACCTTGTCTTTATATTTTTTGGTAAAAGCGACCTCATCAGTGTCCCGAAATGTGTTGTGAGAGTAAATATTGATGAGTGAGGTCGGAAATCAGCGACGATTGGCTATACTATCTACCTCCACTTAAATTACGTTAGAAACTGCTATTACACCGTATGAACACCGTGTAAACAGGTATGTATAATAAGTTTACCAAAACTTTTTATTCACGAGATACCTTCAGAAAATTTTAGATGGGTAATTGCCTAATGCAATAAGGTAAAATTTGAAGAACTGCCATACAAACTGAACGATCGGAATCAAGTGCTGTTAAGGAATCTTTTGTATTTGTGTAGGGTATTATAGCTTCGGTGCAACCAAGTTAACGTATCTAACATATATCAGCATCAGTACTATCTAATATATATGGATATACTACCGACATACAGCTCAATATCTTCACAAAATTTACACGTATTATTGTCCAGACACTTTTCATACGGACCACTATATTATATATCTGTCATAAAAACCGGCAGATCAAAATCAAGTTCTTTATGGAACCGTTTTTATTTATGAAGGATATTCTAGCTTCGCTTGCACCGTTCTTTTTGATTTCTTTTTAGAATTACCTTCTTTATATTACGTACCATATATCGATACCATATAGAATATATCGACAACAATACACTGGCGTCCAGGTTGTACTTTTGTATTTTTTCTTATTAAAGAATAGGAACAAACACGCAAGTACATAAATATAAAGTATATGTACACTGGGCTCACATATGAAGGACAATCCTGAGGGCATTCTCAAAAAATTATTTTGATCGGATAACTATAGCATATAGCTGTGATACAAACTGAACGATCGGAATCAAGTCCTTGGATGGAAAACTTTTTGTTTGACGCGATATCTTTACGAAATTTGGTAAAGATAATTTTTAAGCAACGCTACAATGTCGGAAGAAATGTTCCAGATTGAACTACTATCATACAGCTATCATACGAACTTAATGATCGGTGACAAGTTCTTGTATGTAAATATATTTTAAGATTTACCATGTATATTGATTTATTAATTTGATTAAAATAATAATAATAATATAAATATTAGTAAATGCGTCTATGGTCACTGTTTTAAGTTAATATTTAACTCAGCATAAACTGAGCAACATATTTATACCTTTTTGGGGGCTTCACAGCAAAAACAAATCACATTACAGCATCATCCCTTTAATCTTTCTTTATTGTGCACTAAGTATATTTCATTTTAGAAACTGCCTAACTTCTTAAATCAGAGCTCCTACAATTTTATTAAGATATTTTAAGGTTCGGCTGATCTTATCGGTTTCAACATAACATACTATATACATATAATTATTATGAAAGTAAAGTGATCTGCACTTCAAATGTCAGCCTGCATCTTGAGCATTACAGTAAAAATTTGTATGGGTATTATTGCTACTTACGAGGCAAAGGTCAGATTCGAAATATAATTATCCCGAGAATTGCAGATATGTACATACCGGTTGCACAACTAAAATGGAAATTTAAACAGATTGTTGTTGTTTTACCGGCTGACAGCGATTGTGAATTATTATTACTTCCACAAACCAAAAGTGAGTTTCATAGGTGAACAAAAATGCGTTGCGTGAACGAACTACTATTTTGGTAACAAATTTGCAATATATACAAATTTTGTTCCGGGTAAGTCTATTCATTAAACTAAATTGAGTATAAATCAAGTAACAGTTGTCAAAAGAGCAACACCGAAAAGAGTATTACCTCATTGAACCAATGTCTGAAAAAACAACCGTATAACACTCATTAGTTCTATTACAAAAGTAAGATATTGTTGAAATATATTTGGTAAGATATAAGTTTTCTGAGAATTATATGAAGATATAATGAAATATTACAATATTGTATATATATATATATATATATACATATATATTGTTTATTCGCATAAGTTGAAACACATACATATGGTATAAAACTACACGCATATATAAATAAGAGATTCCACTCTACAATCACATTATTCGGGTAACAGTTTTTAGTGTCGGTTCGCTTGCTTACAAATACGATGTTAATAAAATAGATAATCAAGCCCGAAATGGTACTTCCACGATATTGTATTTTTGTTTTCTGCTTTACGGAGGTTTTACCCTATTATACTTGTATTACTGACAAGAAAAATATAATTTGTTTCGAGTTTCAATATAATTACTTCTAAATTGCAGGTGAGAATGAGACACAACACTTCATAGAGATCGGTAGTAAATATTATTTAATTAATACTACTGCCACAGTAAATTTTTAAATTATAGTTTAATAATTCAAGCTTCTTAATTGTAGATGAATTGGTATATCAGCTCTAGTAAATTGATATTAACAACTTCCCGGTCTACATAAAACACATTTTCGAATGACCCACGTCCAAAGGTGTTTTAATGTTATAATTTATACTAAACTAAACATAACGATATGAAATATACATACGTATAGTAAATAAACCTCATTGTTTCCTTTATCGCAAGTTTGAGAGTGCTGAGAAGTACTTCAAGCAGTGGTTCTCAAAAATGTAAACTCATTGTTTTCATAAGCATTTTCTAGTATTTAGTATTCAATATATAATACAAAATCCTGTTATAGTAACCAGCGTAAGTAGACTGACAGCTATACAACAGTTATTTATTAAATGCTTTCGCTTTTTCGTTCTTCACTTCAACTTGAGCTGCCTCTCTTTGCCGCTTTCATTCTCACATTCTATAGCATCGCTCTTCGCTTAAACTATGGTATTATCGCTTCTCGCTTTCACTCTGACATCAATTTTAAGCTAAGCTCGTATAGCGAAAATGAAACGAATATTCCTTATCGCAATCAAATGAATACAACCCTGTTTTCGACTCGCTTCTCTCTGATCGCTGTCTCTCTAATATTGCTCTCTTGAAAATATGTTACATATAAAAGTAACAACAAAGTTATCGATTTATGTCGATGCAGGAGAGTACCATATATGGATGGATTCAAATATTTAGCATATCTGCACTCTTTAATGCTACCAATATTTTTTTACCGTTGTTAATGTCTCAAATGACAAATTTGCCAAAAATTAAAATACAGAGATTAAGAATTGAATTAATATATACTTTTTAAAGAAAACGAAAACACAAACGCTGCTCGAAATTAAGTGCTGCCAGTTCTCAGCTCTTGGAGTTTGTTCGATTTGATACTCTCTAAAGATAGAAATAAATGATTTTAAGCATTATTAAATGGCAAATGAACTCCACAGCTTAATATTCTATACATTGATATTTTTAGTGGACCACACTATAGCATATAGCAGCCATATAAATAGAACGATTAACGTTGAAGTGTCTAAAATAAATAAATAAAATTAATTTCGTCAATTTCTTTAATAATATGGAAGAAAGCCACGATATTCAGGTAAATTAAGTTGAAGAAAAGTAAAATATAAAATATTTTGTTGTTTCTGTGGTTGCAATGTGAACCAAAATGCAGCTGTTTCAACATAAAGAAGCTTTACTTTTATTTTTGTCACTTTCCCGTGGCATTTTGTATTCTTAATTTTCATTACCAGCTGGTGAAGTGTAGAAATATAACATAATATGACATACCAATTAAGGGGTGCTCACAAGTGTCGTATATTTTAAGCTATTGAAATACGACAAAAGACATAAGACGAAGCTTGTGAATTGCCTAATTGTATGTATTATAAAAGATATCCATGTAATGAAGAAGGAAAGACTAAATCGGGCAGAACGAAACTGGATAATTTTGTGAATTGTGAGAGCGGTAAACAACTTAAACGGAATTTTCCAAATAAATTTGTTAATTGTCCAATTGAAAAATCCTTGATCGGATAAAATTTGGTTACATAGACCCGACCGTCGTGGAGCGGTACAAAAATAAGCGCTTCCATTCGGCCCATGGGCGAAATTAAAGATCAACTGTACAATTAAAAGGATATTTTGATATACTGTGTATATATTGGGATTATACGACGATGCTTAGCAGTGTAATTATACAACCGTTAAGCGAGCAACGCTAAAAATTGTGCGCCGTAAGAAATATAAAAGTACAATATATGTGTATGTACAATATGTCAATAATCAGCAAAAGTGCGAAAACCTATATATATATATATATATATATCTATATTCATGTATACAATACATGTATATATAAATTGGACATTCTAGTCTATAATTACATTATTCCGTACATACTTTTTAGTGTCGGTTACGCTTGCTTGCAATATGGGCTTCACACAATTTTTATTTTAATTTTCTGCTTTACGGGAGTTTTATCCAATTCTACAAATATTTCAAAACGCGGTGAGCCATTCTTTACGAAGAATATGAACTATTTCTACTACAATTATAGTTACTTCTGAATTGCAGGTGAGAATGAGGCACAACCCTTCATAGAGATCGGTAGTAAATTTTATTTAATAAATACTGCTGCTACGGTAATTTACTTCGAAGTTTGAAATTTTAAATTTTATAATTCAAGTCTTTCAATTAAAGATGAATTGGTTTGGTGCGGCGCTTTATTGTCGCAACTTTGATAGTGATTTGGCCGTTATCGAGTCGCCAGCTGAGATGAATGCACTAAGTTTCTATTTAACCACGAATGACGGTCACATTGGTAAATATTTTTGGCTTGGTGTCACCGACTTGGCGGAAGAGGGTAAATTTATGTCACTCAAAGACGGACGTCCAATGCTCTATGCTAAATGGTCAGGTGGTCAACCAGATAACGCCGGTCAAAATGAAGATTGTGTACATCTTTGGGCCGTTAATAATATATTTCATATGAACGATAACGATTGCATGGCTAAGCTTTATGCCATCTGTGAGTTGCGACAACCAAGGAAGAGTTGCGACGTGTGTGATTTGAAAAATTTTATTGATAGATTCATGCAACATACAAATGTTCTAAACTGTCGAAATTAGTTAAAGAGCAGAACCAATTAATAAGATCATTTTTAATAACGATACCTTGTCTTATATATTTTATTGAGTAAAAAGCGACCTCATCAGTGTCCCGAAATGTGTTGTGAGAGTAAATATTGATGAGTGAGAGTCGGAAAATCAACGACGATTGGCTATACTATCTACCTCCACTTAAAAAATTACGTTCAGAAACTGTGCTATTACACCGTATGAACACCGTGTAAACAGAGTATGTATAATAAGTTTACCAAAACTTTTTAATTCACGAGATACCTTCAGAAAATTTTGGATGGGTAATTGCCTAATGCAATAAGGTAAAATTTGAAGAACTGCCATACAAACTGAACGATCGGAATCAAGTGTTGTTAAGGAATCTTTTGTATTTGTGTAGGGTATTATAGCTTCGGTGCAACCAAAGTTAACGTATCTAATATATATCAGCATCAGTACTATCTAATATATATGGATATACTACCGACATACAGCTCAATATCTTCACAAAATTTACACGTATTATTGTCCAAGACACTTTTCATATCGGACCACTATATTATATATCTGTCATAAAAACCGGCAGATCAAAATCAAGTTCTTTTATGGAACCGTTTTTATTTATGAAGGATATTCTAGCTTCGCTTGCACCGTTCTTTTTGATTTCTTTTTAGAATTACCTTCTTTATTATTATATTACGTACCATATATCGATACCATATAGAATATATCGACAACAATACACTGGCGCTCCAGGTTTTACTTTTGTATTTTTTTCTTATTAAAAGATAAGGAACAAACACGTAAGTACATAAATATAAAGTATATGTACACTGGGGCTCACAAATGAAGTGAATATCCTGTTTTTTTTTTGTTTTGAAATATTGGTTTATTTACTAAACAGAAATAAAAAAATTTAAAAGAGTGACGAAATCGGGTTACTTATCAGCACAACCAAAAACAAATTTTTTACACAATAAAACCCGTAAAAATATTTAATACAATATATAACATAATATTGTTGGCAGAATTTTATATCAAAAAATGTTGCGAAATAATTCAATATTCTTTATTGGACGGATAACAATCAAATTTGGTATTCTTTTAACTTATTTTAAAGGTTATGTACTCGCTTGGTTTAATTAATATATTTTAATCAACGAAAATTGTATTATAATCAAATTCTTTGTATTATGGATATGAGGTTTAGCTCAAGGTCTAGTCCAATTCTATGACTATGAGTGGTAAACCACATAATTTTCAATGAAACTTGTCACACGTTTTAATTAATTTGCTAATTTAATTAATTTATTGCAATTTTGTAAATATATGTCACACACTAAGCGACATATTCGTCATAAGGCTGGTTAGCAAAACGAAAATCAATTTATGTAGTATCCAAATACTACCACCCTTGAGTGGAGGTAATTCGTAATTCAGTAAGGCCAACCGGAAGTTTGAAAAATAGGAGCATATTGGCATACTGTTATTAGGAGAAGCTCCAAATTTCACAGATTGACTGATAATTTTGATAAAATTTTGGACGGTGGGCGTGGCACGGCACACTTTAAGGTGAAATTACATATTTCGGGACCTGCTCGACCGGTTCCTAGCTAATTTAGTTCATAATATTTTCCTAATATTCATATGTTACAGTCCGAAACTGAAGGAAATCGGACTACAACCACGCCTTCTTTCCATATAACACAATTTTAAATTCCATCTTAATGTTTCGCTGTCGAGTACGAGTATACAAATAAGGCACCAATTAATATAAGGGAATAAAACTTTGCACGAATAGTGCCTCTGGAGTGTGCCCGGTGGTACCCAATATGTTGACCACATTGCCTATAGTTAACTTTAGCCCCATATACCTAATATAAAGATTTTCGACCTTCCGCATGACTTTATACCGCATATATTAGCTAATATGTGAGTTATCTCAATGAAAATGATAGAGCGTGTTTTACTCATAGCAGGGTATATTTGTGCCTAAAATAGATCATATCGGGTGAAAATATTACCTAGCCCCCATGTAACTAATATCAGAATTTTCGAATATCCGGCTGACTTTATTCCATATGATTGGTCATGGTATGTGAGGTACCTTAATGAAACACCGGGAGTATTTTTTTAGTCTAAGGAATGCTAGTACAGGTAGTAGGTGTTATTGGCAAAAATTGATAAAATCGTGTCAATACTAGCCGCAACTACCATATACTACATATAATGATTTTCGTTATTCTATCAAGTTTTATGCCGAATATGTTGGTCAGTGAGCATTATTTATATATAACAAGTAAGGATGGGCTAAGTTCGGATGTAACCGAATATTTTATACTCTCACAAAGTCAAATGGTATACTCGTTTGAGATTTGTTTCATTGTTGCTTGATTTGCATACTGGAAAGTGAAAAAATCAGACGAAATTTAAAATGGTTTTATATGGGAGATAGGCGTGGTTGTAATCCGATTTCGCACTGTAACCTAGAAATACCGAATTTGGTTGAAATCGGTTAAGCAGATCCGAAGATATAGGTTTTCACCTAAATGTGGGCGGTGCCACGACCACTGACTAATATTGAACACGGTTCCTATAAAGTCATCTCTTACCATCCTTTTAGTATTTTTTAACAGTATCGTTATATGGGGAGTGGGCGAAGTTGTCACCCGATTTCACCCATTTTCACACTGTGGGTAGAAATGCTAAAAACATTTGCTTCCAGTAAATTTTGTTATTATAGTTGTAGCGGTTTTGAAGATATGCGCAATAAACCTATTAGGGGCCGGGACCACGCCCACTTTAAAAAAAAATTTTAACTGCAGATGCCGCTCCCTAATGTGATCCTGTGTACCAAATAACAGTTTGTATCTTATCGCGGGGTTTAGTTATTTTTTATTTTTTATTAATAGCGTTTTGTGGGCGTGGCAGTGGTCCGATTACGCCCATCTTATATAAATTTTTACTCTAGTTACAGCTTGCACAGACGGACGGACAGATGGACAGACAGTCACTCGGATTTCAACTCGTCTCTTCATCCTGATCATTTATATTTAACCCTATATCTAACTCGATTAGTTTTAGGTGATACAAACAACCGTTAGGTGAACAAAATTATTATACTCTGTAGCAACAAGTTGCGAGAGTATAAAAACACTGCAAAATATGTTCTCGAATATACGGGAGCAATGTCAAAATTAATGCAATCGGACCGGACCCTTTCTCTATCCTCAATATACCCCATAAAATGATTTCCACCTGTATATAAACCGGTTAGGCAGGCCAAAATGTGTGATATTTTAATGAAATAAAATGGACAAGAAATTGGAATATACCTTGGTATAAAGCTCATATCCCTAATTTAATGAATTTGGTTCTTCTGGACGTTTACCACATCAGCTCAATATAATATTGATTAAAATTAATATCACATACATATAAAAAGGAGTTTTAATTTAATTTTAGCTGACGCGAACTAAATGATAGCAATAAAACTAATTTAATGGCTTTCAAAATAAGTCAGGAAGATACCAAATTTGATTGTAATTTATTCACGATTTCATCGAATAATGGATGTTGAATTCTTTCGCTATACTGGAGGATCAATATAAGCAAAATATCATTTGATATGAGGGCTAAAACTAAAAGTATCGACCGTTTTTATTAATTTTTATTTTAATGCTGTTTACCGCATTATAATTTTGAGATAAACGAGTTTGAAAAAATAGCATCACTTTACGATAGCATCACAGCGATCTACTCACTTTACAGCTTGTAAAAATAGAGATATTCGAACTCTTCTCGTCGTAAGAAACACAACCGAAATAGGTACTTTGAAGTAGAGAACATTTACAAAGATCTTTCAGTAAAAAAAATTATACAAATCTCAGTCAGTGTAAATAGTCAAATTTGTAAAAGATATACGAGGGCTGCTATATAGCTGGCTGGCCTAGGCAACACTAAGTGTTACCAAGTGCAGTCTGACATTTCCATTGGAAAGTTTGACATTTTTTAGCATAACATCACTCAGAACGTTTTGTCATTTAATCGTGAATTGTTTTATTTACAGGGAATTAAAAAATTCATCTCGGCCAAAAAATGGAATTAACTCGTGAACATTTTCGTGCGATTATTTTTCACAACTTTCGACGTGGATTATCACGACAAGAGTGCACCGATGAACTAAAAACTTTGTATGGCTATGAAGCACCATCTTATAGCACTGTGAAAAACTGGTACAACGAATACAATCGTGGCCGACGCTCGCTCAAAGACGAATTCCGTGAAGGTCGTCCAAAAACAGCCGTTGTGCCAGAAAACATCGATGCCGTACGTGAACTGATAATGCAAGACCGTCATGTAACATACCTTCAGATAGAGGCATGTCTATGCATTTCTCCCACCAACATACATTCGATATTGCATGAACACCTGGCCAGATCTCGTTGGATCCCGCACAATTTGACAATCGCTCAAAAAAAGGCTCGTGTGGATTGGTGTAAAGAAATGCTGAAAAAATACGATCGCAGTGCTTCAAAAGATGTTTATAAGATCGTCACAGGTGACGAATCATGGATCTATGCGTATGAGCCCGAAACAAAACAGCAATCGACCAAAAACAAATAAAAAAACATTTTCGTTGATAAATATTCGTAATTTCATTATTAGGCCAGAAATATATATAGCAGCCCTCGTACCGATACTTTAAAAATAATGCAGCCATTGCATATTTTTTACTTAATATCAGTGACATGTTATGTGAGACCCTTAAATATAGCTTAAGTCAAATACTTATCAGCACGAATACCAAACTAAAAAAAAATATTTTAAGTGCATAGATATTTTACACTGAAATACATAATTTTTCAAACATAAATGGTACTTTATTAAAAAAAAATAATAAATTGGATAGCCACCATTCTGTGGATCGAAAATCATACAAACGCTAACTCTAGTGGTTTGGAACTGGAAATCAAATCGTTAATATTGAAAAAAGTTATCCCAAACCAAGTTAGTGGTGAATTTAGACAGTGTCATTGAAAATGTTTGAAGGACATAAGAAGACGACCTATTTCGTCTTGGTTGAAGAGAGCGAAGTAATTAGAAAAGTGGATTTGATAGGATACGCACATTTTTGCTTTCGGAAATCTTTGATATACTACTACTATAAGCAGGTGTGGATAAGTAGAAATGTTTGCTGCTACAATATCTAGAGCGCATTTGTGCTGCAGTCACGCTGTGGCTAGGGTTTGTGGCACTTCAATTTGGTATACTAAATAGTTTTCTTAATAAGAGAGTTGTTTAAGACTTTGATTGACTCTCTATGAATACTGCTCCCTAGCCCTCATCTATCTATTCAAATTAATTAACTTTAGCAATGGAAATATTTATTATTGTGTTCTGTTGACTAGTGTTCTTTTTGCAATATAAAATACACGGCTTTTCTATTTCATTTTATTAGTAGTCGTTCACTGTATATCGGCTACACACGTTTCGCATTTGCAAGCAGTTAGAAATCCGGAGCACAATGACGATTGCTCAATATATTTGGATTTTATGTCTCACTAGTGTTCTCTGCAATATCGCAAATACGTGTGCGCCAAGTGCCGATGAGTGTAAAGAAAAATAAATCCGCACCTGAATTTATCTACTTATACAAATTTATATAACCCCTATACTGCAGAGGGTTATGCTTTTGTAAGATGCGAAAACCCCCAAAATGTTATGGTGAAAATATAATATCGAGCTATGGTTTGAAAAAGCTCGTACACGAATATGTGAGAAGTGCATATTCCATATTGAATTGCCGAGATTACTGCAGAACTTGTGGTGTATATGCATATATGAGTAAGCTTGTAGAAACTTGTTTTTTTGAGCAGCAATAGAAAAAATAAAGTGAAACCAAATGAAATCGCCAAAATTATAACTGTTTGGTAAGATTCCACAAATTTCGGACGAGCCTTGCTACAGCCCTTAGAATAATTTTTCCAATTTATTTTTACTGCAATTATAAAACAAAATTAAAGCTCAATATTATTATTTTTTTTATTTTAGCAAGATTTGATTAAAATCAGTCAAAGGACGATAATCTCTTAGGAGCAGCCACAAAACCTAAGCTATAATCGGCGAGGCAATGAACGGCGATGGAAATTATATTAAATGTATCGCACGGTCATATTTCAAAATTCCTAGCTACAAATATCTACAAACTATCGACTTTTCATTAATATAACTACTTGACAAGCAAAATGCCCTTAAATACCCGCAAGTCAAATGCCATAAAACACTTAAAATGATATTGAGAAATCTAATAAGTACTTCCAAAAGGCATACGAGAAAAATCATAACGCTAAGGGGTGCGTTGATAAATTCCTTAAAAAAAACACACGAGCCCAAACATTAAATCACAACCGATAATCCCAAGTTAAAACAACCAGTCGGCCGACCAGCCCACCAAAATACACACACAAAGTCGTTATCAACTAGCAAACCTTGGGGGGCTGCGCCGCCGTCCAGACGATCAACGACATGTGACAGAGTTTGCACCAGAGGGTTGCAAAATTTCAATACACTATTATAAAGACTTCTCGTGCACGTGCAAAACTCGCGGCAAGATTTCCTGCACTGAAAAAATACCACAGACTGTCAATGCCCGAGGCTAAATTTCGGTTGTGAAGTCAACCACCAGTTTATGCTAAGAAGATGTGCATGGCTCGTATTTACCCCACGGGGAGGGTGGAAACTGACACTTTGTTCCTCATTTAGCGCATCAACGACGTAATGATTCGATTATTTACGCTTGCCATTGTATTTTGGTATTTTGAGAATTTCACACAATAAGGGATTACTGTCGAATGCCCACATATATCCACATACTTATGTTGATGTTGGTTGAGGGAAATATCGAAATGACAATGAGGATTATAAAAAATTATTAGAGAATAAGAGTATTACTTTTTTTAAGCAAACTAATTTATTTTGAAATAATTTATTTTGTTTTAATGGAATTTTGTTAGATTAAAAGAATGCCTAGAAACATCTAAGGCAAAAAATCCGAACATGTTAGAGGTGCTTTACGAGCAATATTAGTTCAGTGGTGAATTCAAAATTTCGGCAAATATACAATTTTTATTTACATAAAAACCAATTTTTAAAATCGGCCAATAGTAAAATAGGTAGAACAAAGAAAAGTAAAATTTACTACCCATTGAAGGTGTGCAAAATAGTTGAGAAACCAAATGGGTCGTATTCAGTGTCGGCAAAACATGGATCCAGTAATAAACACCAGAAACCAAGAAACAATCGAAACAATAGACTTCACACGCGAAGAATCAGAAGAAGGGGAAGACTGTCCTATCGGCCGGAAAGATAATGAGCATATTTTTCGCAAGCCATATGCTACACATCGCCCAGTACCTTGAAGAGAGTGAAAAGTTCACAGAACTCTGCAATGGCGATTTACTATGCCAATTAGATGCCGAATTCCACAAAAAATGTAAACAATTCGCGTAGAAATGTTGCTATTTTACCATTAATACTCAACGGCTCAAATTTCCGGAGCCCCCATGACCAAAATAATGCCCCAATCGCTCTATTCGGCAGTCTGGGCACCGTGCGGCTCCTTCTTGTTTCCAAACTTGAAAAAGTTACTCGTCGGGTAGAATTTTGTGTCGAATGAGGACGTTACCACGTAGACCTTAAGGAAATGTATTTCTCCGACATTTTTCCCTTTCTTAATCTAATGTAATATATATACTTTTATATTAGAATTAGTTAACAAAGTCTGTCGAGCAGTGTCATCGAGAGTTGAAGCTATTCACTAATTTATTCGGAACCTTTTGGAACGACTGTACTTGCAATTAATACAAAAAATACCTAAAGTTAAACAGCCGTCTGATTGTAAGCGCCAAAATATAGAAGATGAGACGTATACGGAAAAATTTAACTAATGCAATGACAAATTAAAGACCTCCGTGAAGTTAACATAGTTTCTAATAGCACATAGATTTCAGTATAATTATAAACCCAGATTCCCCTAAAGCGCGATTTCGGCAATAATATGTGTACCGTACAATAGGATTACTATGTACAATAGAAAGAGACCTAAATAGAGGCTTTCTCTAGGAAAGCAATTCCAATCTTAAAGACTTTCAATATATAATCTGTACTCCACTACATATTGAAAGGCGTTCTATAACCGATACAATCTGCCATTTAAGCAAAAGCCTCTGTCACCTAATAAAGATTGAGGCGCTGTTTAATTTCAAACTTGAAAATTTTAAAATTTTAATCAGAATTTTAAACTGCCGTTACAATAAGTAAATTTAAATAGCCTATTGTTTCTTAAATGAAAAAAAAATATGTTTTACTGATAAATGTTTTACAAAAATTATTTTTTTTTATAATAAATTTGTAGCTATCTTTTTGCTTTCTGAGAAAATTCGTATGAGTTTTGAAAAATATGTTTACTGAAATTAAACAAATATAGCAATAGTGAAATGCTATTTTACTTAGATTATTATGGAACAATTTAAAAAACATTTAATATGGTTAGCTGAGCGCGGAATACATTTCTCTTCGGAACCTCGTTTACTCAGAGAAGTGGTATGTCGTCGCTATGATGTTCACTACACAGTGGTTCTTCATCTGAGCATCCACGTTTATCCGACCTACCCTTTCTTAAGCCGGGAAACGACAGTTTTATATGATTTCCGGCTTTGCTTCCATTAGTCGCATTACTGTCATTGCGAGTAGCGTGTTCTGGTGCAAAATTTGCTATTATCGAGTTACTGTCTTCTGCGCCACCCTCATTTCCATTTTTTCGTAACCAAATGGCCTTGAGTGCTTCTTTTTGCCTATATATTACAGCTGTAACAATAGTTATAAGCAGTATCCCGAATATAAATAGTAGTACCAAAGTTCCGCGCGGGTTTGACTCAGGCTTCGGATGCCATTCCCAGGTATGTGTGTTGACATTGGTTCGCGTTTGATTTTCTGTAAGAGTTTGAAATGTTTGAGAGAAAGTGCTGTCGAAATATTGGTCTACTGTCTGATAGACTTATTTTGTGTTCTGAATGAGAATTTGCGGAATGTGTTATATATATGTACATTGAATGATGATGAAAAATGCCACATTTTGAAACAAATATTTAATTTGCAAATTCTAAACAAAAATACATAATATTACATTAGAGTTAGACTCTTTACTTTGGGCACCGAAAAATATTTTAGTAAACTTTACTGAAAAGAAAAAGATAGCTTGTTGTTTTTCATTGAGCTTACATACAAAGGCGGATAGATAAGTACTTGGCCTCACCACTCGCTGGCGGCACTATTGCAACCGAAATTTACTATCAATTGAAGGTGTGCGAGATAGCTGATAGATACTGACAGTACTGAGCTGGAGACTATTTTGACAAATAAATGGCCAGTTTTATTTTTCTTTTGCAGGCTGAACAACTTCCGGACCTTGCACCACGAACCCTTGAACCGAAATGTTACTAAAACGAACATTCCCTTTTGAAAATTATTAGTTTATAGCGCTCCAAGCACAGTTTGTACCTTCAAAGTTCAATACCATAATCTCATATACTCTAATTACAATTATTGATGTTTTAAAAATGTGCTCTCTTGAAGTAGAATTTAAATTCTTTGAAACAATTAAGAAATTGTAACTAGTACTTACTTGCTGGTATTTCCTTGGCCTCGCTTGCGGCTTTTTTGTGGCCAATAGTCGCGACGGTGGTCACGCTTAGAATGGGTTGTGTGTAGAGTGTATAAGTTTGAGGCACAGGTAAAATTGTGGTTGGCGTAGTGAAACGTTTTGTAGACGTTGTTATTGTTGTTGGTATTGTACGAATTTTGGTTGTTGTTATTGTGGTTGTTGTTGTTGTTGTTGTTGTTGTTGAGGGTGTTGTGCGTTTAGTAGTTGTAAGCTTTGGCTTGTATGTTGTGGTTGGGGTGGTTATCGCCTTGCGCGTGCTTGTTGTTATTGGCTTATGTGTGGTTGATGTAGTCGGACGCATTGTTGTAGTGCTTGTACTTGTGGTTGTGGGCCTTTTGGTTGTTGTCATTGTAGTTGTTGTCGTTGCCGTAGTGCTTGTATTGGTTGTTGCTTTTGTGATTATAATTTCTTTTAATGTTGCTGTTGTCGATTTCGTATCACCTCTAACCGTGGTTGTTGTAGTGTTCGGTATATTAACCGTGGTCGACTCCAGTGGCGCATCTAATGTGGCCCAAGTACTCATATTTAATATTTGTATTTCTTTATTATTGTTTTTTTTTATGCATTCAAAACTTACCGAGACACACTTTCGTATAATCCGGACAGCAATCATCGTCAGCTATACAACTATCGTCACAACTGCAAAGACCTATCAAATGTGTGGCATTGCGCATTATACCGAGCTTCGTCTTATTGCCGCAACGTGACACGCACGATAAAGTGTCGTAGATAGATTGTTCTAGAAAATCATAATAATAATAATAATAATACAATATTTTTCAAGTGAATGAAAATTGCAGAAGAAGTGGTCAGCTGACCTGTAGTGGTGTTCTCATTCTCAGCGGAGTCATCGGGTTCATCATCATGATTATCCAAAGCCTTACATTCGGTGCCAAACATTATTTTCACATCGTCTATAGCTATGTCACTTAAGTGATTTTTGGCGCCATCCGCGACGAATACTATTTGAAAATCATCCTCCATTTCGTCTATATAAAAGTGTGCCTCGTTCCAGTTATTATTCTGATTACCAGACTTGGTGAACTTTAAATAGCTGCAAGGAATAAACATAACTAAATATATGATATACACGTGTGGGTAAAAAAAAAACACGAATTTTTTTTTTCGCTTGGTACTCTGAAAAATATGATCTAAGACGCCTTTAATTTTCGACTAAATCTGTGAAACGAAATATTTTTTCAAGTAGTTGGAAGCGAGAAATGAATTTTTCTATCTGATAATAAGAGAAAAATAGAAAATTTTAAGGCGAAGAATCTTACTGTTACAATTAAGAGCTCATTCTTTGAGAGATCTTCGTTGAGGCATCTAAGAACCTATTTTTTAAAGTAACATACCAAGCGAAAAAAAATATTTATTTACTTTGACCCGCCCTAATATATACTTCTCAATTTCTGGACAATGAACATAGCAAAACGAGAAATTCAATTGAAAAGTGTAATTAAGTTTATTATGTATATTAAGTTTGCCACGATTTTGTAGCACCCACAAGGAAACGTCGGAGACCCTATAAAGTATATATTCTTGTATATAAATGATCAGCGTGACGAGCTGAGTCGATTTGAACATGTCCGTTTGTCTGTTTGTATATCGGCAAACTAGTCCCTCAGTTTTTGAGATATCGATCTGAAGTTTTGCATACGTTCTTTCCATACAAAGAAGCTGTACATTTGTCGGAACTGCATACGAGTTCAATTAAAATTATGTCCTTGCATGGAAAACTTTTATATTTGACAAGGCATTCTCAAGAAACTGGAATATTGCCTAAATCTGTCTAACAAACTAACTGATTAAAAACAAGATGTATATTTGCAATGAGATGTAGATTACAATACCGTTAAACTATTGTCAAGATATTGACATTACAAGAGCTGTTTTTTGACACATGACTACCATAAATTATGATTATTATGGAAGTAATGAATCTTGCATTACTTCAACATTACCCGGCGCTAAGCAACTACATACATATGTATATCTGAAATCAAGGTAGTATTACTTTCATATTTCGTTACTTACGTTGTTTTGTCGTCAATAACTACGGATAGCATTTTCGTCAACGGTTTAATGTAGACTCTTAAATTCCCAACACCAGCGCCATACATTAAATAGTAAAATTGAAAGCAACACGCAGTCTTCAGGCTTATGGCACGTTCATATATGGGGGAGGTGAGGGCGGCTGGCGTTGATGTGGCACCGAAACTTTCCATCAGCATATAATGACCACCACTGACTTGCATTGTAGTGTGATCGTAACGTGGTCCAGTGTGAAACGAGGTGAATACATTAGTGGCCATGGTGCGTTTCCATTTGAAACCGTCGGCTATGTCCGTAACCCAACCGCACATGTCCTCTGGCTCAAAATCACATTCGTGACTCACTTTGCCGGGGCGTGCTATTGAAATTGTAAAAAATTGTATGCCGTTTTACAAAATGTTAGGAAGAAAATTTTAAAATATATTTTTTATAGCTTTTAGAGGAAAAATCTGAGCAAATCACTTTCGGCTTTGCCTTTTAACTACACAAGTCGGCAACTATATACACTATACTGGTAAAATCAATTTTCTGAAAATAATTTTTCGATTTCATTAAAAACAAATAGTTATACTCACGCCTACAATAGCCCAGCGGACGATCCCAATCGGTGCCGTTGCAATAAGCATATCGATTACCAGCCAATTCAAAGCGCTCCGCACAGTAGATACCGATATGATACTGATCCACATATTGTATTCTGCCATTTTCTGGATTCTTCGCCGGAATATCACATACATTGCCTGGAAAAAAAGAAAATTATACTTTTTTTATTTAATTATGCCACTTGTTTGGGGATTGCGAAAGAAAGATATGTGCGAGCGCACCAATGGAGCAAAAATGTTCTAGAATTTCACACATTTTATCAATAATCGTGAAAAATAATAAACTACAAAAATTGGACTAACTTGCACAAATTGGACGATTGCCAACCCATTTGCCACGGTTGCAAGTCGTACGCCGATCACCGAACAACTTGAAGCCGTTATTGCAATAGTGAAGCAGCATCATATTCCGACGTCGCAGCGCTGAAAAGCCATTTGGTAGCGGTTCAGGATTTTCACATAGTATTCGCGAACGATCGGAGAAGCGACGCGTTTCGTATATACCACTCACATGGTGAATCCAGTAAAATATTAGACAACAGATGAAAATCAGTTGCAAATGCGTAATACGTTTGACGGACCGGAGGTGAGGCATTTTGTAAAACTCCAAATTGAATAAAAAAAATATAAAAAAAAATACACAGTTTCTATACTTTCTTTTGAGTAATATAAGAAATATTTCCAAATTTAGTTCTTTCCTCGCAACATCCGCAATGGGCACTGATAGGAGATTGTGTTTACTGGAGACTGGGCGATGAAACTAAAAAATCTTCTGGACAAATACATGCAAATAACCACATATATAACTAATATATAAAATGTATAAGTATGCATTATATATATATCTATGTACATATGTATGTATATCGGGTTTGCCGCTCTTTGTTTTGCATAACTGATAAGCTGGAAGTCGTCAAGTCCTGCAGTTCTTTTAGCAGTATGATATTATTTAGTTTTTACATGTATTAATGTATTTGTACACTCACAGGCAACGAATTAGAAACGGTAAAAGAACATTTATACCCTAATCAGGGTATATTAAGTTTGCCGCGATGTTTTTAACACCTAAAAAGATCAGCATGCCGAGCTAAGTCGATTGAGCCATGTCCGTCTGTCTGTCTGTATATACACGAACTAGTCCCTCTGTTTTTGAGATTTGATAAAATTTTATCACTCGTTCTTCTCTACCGATATCGGTCCATTATAGCATACTTAAATTTAGGTGCTATACAAACTGAACGAACGGAATTAAGTGTTTGTACTGAAAACTTTTTCTTTTGAAAAGGTATCTTCACGAAATTAGGCATGAGTTATTGCCTAAGGCAACAATGCAATTTTCGAGAAAATTGGTTACAACTGAACGATTGAAATCAAGTTCTTGGAGGAATAAAGAAGAAAATTATAGCTTCGGTACAACCAGAGTAAGCGTTTTTTCTTTTTTTCATGAAACTTGCTGACTAAAAGCTAAATCGAATTTTGTCTAGCATTTTTAAATAGAGGTTTGCTCTGAACAAGTTAGCCCACCCTAACCCGGATGCCTTCAAGCACAAAATTGAAATGAAATGTAAACGAAATGATTCAGCATATCACTTATCGACTATTCCAAATATTCTGTATTGCGTCGACAATATTTTGACCTAAACAAAAAATGTTATAATAATTACTTAAATAAAGTAAAAAAGAATATTGTGAGTAATCCCAAATCGTTTTATGATTTCGTCAACTCCAAACGCAGGATTTCCAAATTTCCGTCTGCGATGAAATACAAATCTATTATTTCAACTGACAATGTTATTATGTCCAATATGTTTTTTTAAGTCAAACTACTGTCATAATGCTTCTACAACTTTTTCCCATCAGTACGTGCTGTGTCCGAATACTTTAATTAACGCTCCAATTATTTCTGAAGGCGACGTCCTACTTAATTTAAATAAGTTAAAACCATTTTTTAGTTACGGCCCAGACATGATACACTCATGCTTCCTAAAATATAGTGCCAAATATATTTATTTGCCTTTGACAAGGATATTTAATTCCTCTCTTAAACACGGTATATTTCCTTCAATATGGAAACAATCATTTATAATTCCTTTGCATAAAAGTGGATTTAGGTCCAACATTAAAAACTATCCGTTATACCTAAACTTTTTGAAGCTATCATTACTGACCATATAACCTTTTCGATTTCTCCATTAATTTCCTCATCTCAGCATGGATTTCGTAAAGGGAAATCGACTCTAACAAACTTGCTGGAATTCGTAAACCATGTATAATCGGGTTTTAGGGAACATAAGCATACGGATGTTATATACACAGACTTCAGCAAAGCTTTCGATAAAGTAAATCTCTCGATTCTCATACATACACTTGATTTGCTGGGCTTTCAGCCAAGATTTCTTCAATGGGTTGCTTCCTATCTTTATAAATATTTGAGGATACTCCTTCAGATAAAATTAATGTCTCTTCAGGTGTTCCGCAAAGTAGTCCTGTTCTTGTTGTTTATTAACGATATCTCTTTAGTAATAGAATTCTCAAACATTTTATTATACGCTGACGACGTAAAGCTTTTTAAATCATACACTTCAACTGAGGAAAGGTGTCTGTTGCAAACAGGCTTAAATTATATGGTTGCATGGTGTGATAGAAATGATTTACCATTGAATCTGAATAAATGTAAGACGATGTGCTTTTCCCGTAGATCTGCGAACCCCTCTCCTTATGTAATACAACACCATAGTCTAGTTTTTAACTATGTTGATTTGGGAGTTAATATGGACCCTAAGCTTAATTTTAGTCTTCATATTGATTCCATGGTCTTAAAAGCCAAAGGTGTCCTCAGTTTTTTTAAACATTGGTCTAAAGAATTTAGAAATCCGTATGTTACTAAAACACTTTATACAACTTTGGTTAGACCTATATTGGAATATGGCTATGTTGTATGGAACCGTAGCTACCAAATCCCTTCTGAGAAGTTAGGGTCTGTTCAAACAAAATTTTTACTTTTCGCCTTAATGCATTTCGGATGGGATTCTAGGGTTAGTCTACCTCCATACACTAGTCGTTTAAAACTTATTAATCGACCTACACTTTCCAGTCGTAGGGAAATGCTTGGCATAATATTCTTAGTGAAAATCTTGAATGGAACAGTTTGCAGTTCTTTCTCCTGTCTGAACTTAAATATAATATCCCGGTTCGCTTTTCGAGTCAGTTTAGACCTTTACGGTTAAAATCCTGTGGATCAAATTTCGAACTAAACGAACCATTCCAGCACATCTGACTCACTTTTCAAAAGCAAAAAGACCTAATTGTTTTCTCTTAATGAATGAAAATGTAACAATTTATTATATTGTAACTATAAATCTTAGCTGTTGAAATTTTTGTTTCTGTAGCTGAGCAGTTATAGATCTCAACACTTAAAAAACTCTCTTGCCTTTTCTGACTCGGCTAATTCCGCGCGTTTGCGGATTGCGCCCCTCGCGTCGATTGAGCGGAAGGAGGATAACAGCTGACGCCATAGTCTGGCCAATTAGCTAAACCAACAATCGTAAAACGCATAGTGATGATTTGTGCCGAATAGGGTGAGTAGTTTAAAGTTATGCTTTAATTAGATGCCAAATAATATTTACATATTTAGAATTAATGTGCAAATCGTTATTACTAATATATTATTTGGCAAACATTTTAATAAGAGTTTTCGATTATTTGGACTCGGTACCATTACCAACGCAGCCCATCCATAATACCGTATACTAGTATTGCATTTTAGATATTTTTTGTCAGATTAATACATCGTAGCCATCTTTGAAGACACAACAAGACCGCGGATAGCTGATAATCCGTGAAGATCGTAACTGCTATTTTGCTTGCAGCGAATTTTAACTCATTGATGTAGAATTGTATTACACCTATTCGAGATTTGATTCTAACCTTCTATCAAAAAGAGCTATACAAAGTAATTGACTGTTATGACACATAAACTAACAGAAGAACTTAAGTATCTATTTATGACTAGTCGTTAATATCAAAATTTGAATAACGGAAGTGCCTTTATTCGGTAGTATTGAGTTAGTTAACATAAACAGATTTCGCTAATATCTGAGTGAGAAGTAGTATTCACTTTCTAAGCTTTATTTCTTCTGAGTGTCCTCTCTTTTATAAGTGGTGGTAATTTACAATTAAGTCAAACGAAATGTGTGATTGTAAATCAATTTGGTTGTGACTATATATTGTAAATATGGGCATATTCAAGCCCAGGATCCATTATTTTGAAGGGATTTTAGGTTTTTAATATTTGAAGTTGTATGCATAAGCAATAATTTTACTCAACACATACTTATGTATCGCTCGTCCAAATGTGACAGTGTGGTTTTTTTAAGTTATTACGTATTCCTCAATTCTGATATGTGTAACATCCTTGGTGGTGCTGTGACAGTGAATGTTGTTCTAGGTTCGATTGAGTTTAACTTCGTAATTTTTGCATTACCTTTCTTTCTTCTGCGTTTCTATTTATGCCATCGGTTTAGACATGCCCGTCTTGGAGAGACTGTGTGTTCAGAGTACCAAACGAAAAAAAAAATCGTTTCTTTTGACCCATCCTACTTGTAATATTGTGTCGAGCTAAGTCGATTTAGACATGCTCGTAAATATGTCCATCCGTCCGTCTTTATATACGCAAACTTGTTCCTCAGTGTTTAAGATATCGATCTAAAATTTTGCACACGGTGTTCTCTCTCGAAGAAGCTGTTCATTTATCGGAATTGCCGATATCTGAACATTCTAGCAAAATCTAGATCCCTTATTAAGTAACCTGAATGCAACTTGAACGTGTCTACCAAACAAAGTAGTTAGAAAGAACTAGCAAAATGTTTTTCGTTGGATGCCAACTATTACGTATAGTTGCTATAGGAAACCTGAGTATGGGATTTTGGCAAAGTTAACGTTTTCAATCTTTTCCCTTTAAAAATAATAGTTGTTATATCACATAACTATTAATTAAACCCGTATTATTTTAAGTATTAGATAAATTAAATTAACAACTTCCGTAACTTCAACCATAATATATTTCTGATTCGGCTTTTTAATACCGTCCATTAATAGCTCAATTAATATTTTCCCAATACCACTTGCTTGCACTCTTCTGTTGATACTTTCGATTTAGCTATGCTCAAAGTTGTCGTTAAAAGTTAAGAAAATAACAGACATAATTCCATGATTAGCAAGTTCTAGTCATCTTTCGCAGCTCATGCTTGTTTTCTGTTACATTCTCGCATACTCCTTCTCACAACGAACCCATCTCTTTTGATATGGAATTTCTTATTATTGTATAACTTTTTATTTTAGCTTCAAAATCACATCTGGCCTCAACGCAATCTCAATATAATCAAATAATAAAAAACCAAGATTTTTATTCACGTATTATTATTCCCTACAATTAAATATATTTGCAGTTTGTAGATATAATTGCTTGAGTTTTTTTAAAGCGCAATTCCCAGTCACTTTCTCACAGTTTGATTCTGATTTTATGCCGGAATTACAAGTATTTAACGGCAATTGCTTTTCACATATAACATGCATGTTCAGACTACATTTATTATCGTTCATTGTTAAGCTATCACTAAATAGTATGACTTCTATACAATCCTCCACATCTTCCACATTGTTCGGTTCGTTCTTCCCCCAAAACTTATAAATCATTGGTCGTCCACTATTCAGCGACATGTATGTCTCCGTTGTCAAATCGTTGCTACTTGTCCAAGCGCGCAAAGAACCAAACATCGGCTTTAAGTGCGAAAATAAGGCATCCTTTTCAGCCACCGATTCAATCGTTAGCAAATCACTGTCGTAAGAACGACAAAAATGAGCCGCTCCGAACCAATTCATCTACAATGGGAAGACAATATGTTTTATGAAAATAAAAATAAAATGACTCGTTGGTATATATTGATGAGTACCTTTATGTCCTGAGTCACTAAATAATATTTGCTACCAACTTTAATGAAGGGATGTAAATCCATGTCGATATCTGTAAATTTTAAAATAACTAATACTTAAATAAACGAATTAAGAAAATTGCAATTACCTTCTTGAACCGATGTACTACATGTAGCATATAGTAAGGAATTCACCAAAAGTAAGAGAAAAGAAACATATTGTGCTTGATCCATCATTAAAACGTTTCGTTTATGTTCAACTGTCTGCGCGTCCAGTTAATGGCGATGTAAAACATCAAATGAATTTATTGCAAATTTTATAAATCATATTTTTAATAATAACTAACTTTATAAAGAGTATATATGTATATGTGTAAGTGTGTTTACCCAGTAGTGAACTCAACTGACTATTAACCACTCACAAATCATATGAACCGCAAGCACAAGCCGTTTTTCTTCACACACAAAATTATTTGCTTCAAATCAACCTTTTTTTCAGATTTTAAAAATAGGAAATAAATGAAAATAGAGTTGTTTTTTTTTTTTGTTAATTCTTAATTATAGTTTTTTTACATCTCGAAGTGACAGAAAATTTATGATTTTGGCAGAATCCATCGTAGTCAATTATAGAACACCACATGATTTCAATGGTTTCTTGAACATTATTGTGGTACAGAACTCTGTTTGCTTTGGAACAGAAATTAAGTTTCAGTAGCATACTACAGTATGTACCATAGGTCTGTCTTTGGCATTAAGTGAAAATAGTGTTTTTATTTTGTATTTAATTTAAAATATAGCGATTTCATTCGGAAAATTCTCACTGCCAACTACTATTTTTCTAACCAGTTTGCTGTTAGTCAAAAATCTTTGTACGGACTAGTAGTTCTGCTCACTAGCATAATGCTTTACTGGGTACTTGTGCAATATGCTCGCTAAATCCACTGATAAGAGTCTATCCCTTATCACCGTGAGTGGCGGTATTATGCTTAAAATGAAATTATTGCAAATTTTTTCTTTTATAATTATTATTTAATATCAAATCGTGTAGAGAAGAAAGTGCGGGTATTTTTACTGTGTATGTTATGTGTGCAATATTCTGCAGTATAGATTTTTCTCACTGATTAGAATCTATCACTTCATACCTATTTGCATATTAATACATACATATTATTTTAAAATATATATTATAATCAAAATTTTTTTTTTTTAAATGTGGTATACTTATAGAATGATATAGGCGGTCATATCAGCAATACAGAACCTACAACGATAATCTCTCATATGAGGAAATTTAAACGTAAGTTACACTTGTGATAACCGATCGAGCTTAAATTCTATCTCATTAACTTAAAATGCACCTTACTACTCAAGTTATCACTAAACACTATATTCATCATATTAGTGCTGTGGGGAGGGACCTACTGATATAAAAAGTTTTAAGTACTGAAACACTTATTGCCGTGTAATTTTATCGAGACATTTTTCATCCGCGCACTATACGGATATTCAATCTAAACCAATTCTACCCATTTTTAGCTAACCACATTGCTGGCATGATAGAGTAACCACTTAGTTTTATGAACATAACTCAGAAATTGACCGCGAGTATCAGTAAAAGTGAATTTCTTGTACGGATATCCTCACACACAGTCTATGGAGGTTAGAAAAGGTACTAGGCAATATTGCAATATTCGAAGAAACTGTTCAGATTGGACCACTATAGCATATAGCTGTCATACAAGCTGACTGATCAAATTTATTGTAAGGAATATTTTGTAATTGTGAAGGTATTTGCATGGTTAACGTTTTTTCCGATTTAACTCATTATCATGTTTCAGTGGATCGGGTTGCGCACCTACTTCGAAATGTCATAAGTTTATGAAATATAAATAAAAAAATTTCGTGCTCTCATATAACAAAATATCTTTTATATATACCTTATAAACACAGCGGCTATCACCGTAATAACTACGAGGTTCTAAAGCAGATATGTAATTGTATTAAGTTTCACTTGAGTTTTGAAGAGACTCAATGAATTGCATATGCTGAAAAGAAGTTTGTCTGATGGTAACGCGAAAGTCTCCTTATAAGCTCTAAAGTGTTTACATTAAATGACATTTTAGTCAAACTCTTAAACGAGCAAATGTCTAATAAAAATATGAGCTTCGAAGAGGATTGACACAATCTAGTACATATCAAAGGAAATAGAAAAACCTATACAAAATTAAATATACCACACACTTTCATTTACCATTCTTTTCTTTTGTGAGTCCACTATAATTATGGTAAAAAAGGAGCCGTCATCGATTCGCCATTTCTCTGTTCGCAACAACAATGGTAACGCTACAGAGAGTTAGTGTCAAATGTGCCGTTCATCGAGGGAATACTGTTTGTGTAAAAAGTGAAAGAGCGATTGATAATTCAAGAGAAACAATAACCTTTTATCGTCATTCGTTTATCCATGCTTAGTGTACAAGCAGTGTGCGTTTGACTTATGTATATAACTTTTGGGGAGCGTGTAGCGCAGTGAGTCAGTTATTATTATTTGTTCATAATTGCTACTGAATAATATAGTTATTCTTACAAGTAATTATGGACATAAGCTGTAGGAAACTTTACTTTAACGAGCATATGCTTATACAAGAATAATATTTTAAGTAATGTTTAAGCATGTTCTAAGCTATTATTAGGCTATTGCATAGCTTTTATTGCGGGCTTCGAGCGCGGCCACCGAATCTAGAAATTCCGTAACGGAAATAAACCTAACACGATCACAGAGTATGCGCAAAATGTTTGCATACTGATACGCGTATTTTCGTATATCTTAAGCGGAGCAAATCAATTGAAGAGCAGGGTGATTCAAAAATAATAATATTTAAGATTTTTGAATGGCAAATAAACATACACAATTTAATAAAAGTTTAATTAACAAAAAATAAATTATTAAATATTCGAAGTCATAATATTAGCAACTTTATTAATATTTTGGTAAATAACTACCCCAGCTTTTGGCACAGTATCTCCTTTGATTTAAACAATACAATTGAAATTAGGTATTTTAATCGGATTATCAATGGTAATAAATCTTCACTTATCTTGGCTGGCGATTTCACTGGCTAGCGATGATAAAATATCAGAGCGGTTGACAATTTTTTTTCGGAAAAATTTAATTTGAAAATGAATAATGATCCACAAGAATCCACAATAAAATATTGGACCACCATTGCCGCGGTATTTTCCAGATATTTAGAGAATATCAGGTCTCAAACTTATGATACTCGTATCAGTTACCATAAACCTATAGTTTCAATGATAAAAATTCCTGTGTAACCTACATGTATTATAAGATAATGAAAATATTTTAAGCAATATTAACTTCTCATTTATTCAATTAAAGAATTTGTTTTCTTATCGGTCACCACGCTCAGAAAGTGTAACTCGTATAAATATCAACTTGAAAAAACTTGAATTAATATCAAAAAAATACTGCATAAAAAATAAATAAATAATTATAATTGCATAAGTTGATAAAAATGCTTTGCAGTAGCTTTACCGCGGCAGTCCCCGAGTGCCATACGTACTTTTTTTGTACTCCTGACTATAGATTATGAAATTTTTTTCAATATATCACCCATTCTGTGGCTTAGTTTAGATCATTTAAGATCTTATTAAAATGCCCTAAAATAGGTTTCATTTGATTCCAAACAGTCGTATCAAAGGCCAATGCAGTCTCAGAATACTTAAGATATTTCACACCCAGAATAGCCTTAAGTCCCTTTGGTAAATTTATTGATTTCTTTATATAGCCTCTAGCCTTCTCATTGCGCGTCCACCGAATATTTAGGCATATAGGTGGTGTAAAAGTACGTATAAAAGATTTTTGTAAATAAGGTGGCTCAGAGATAACCTTCATAGTTAAAGTATTTTTTGGCGACCTTCGTTCGAAATTCCATTTGCATTTAATTTTTTTTTTTTGGGCTATGACCATTTTATAAAAAAATAGAACACTTTTCGAAATTTGTTTAAGTCTGTCTGCAAATATTGTGGAGTAATATACAAAATAAATGCTGAGGTGGCTCTTTAGGTTTTCGGGTGAAGAATGCAGTTATACATATAATATAATATATGTTACTCGAGTTTCGAAACGATACAACTATGTATACAATTAACGATGGCATCGATTTTGTTTAACATTTCCCACAGTCATTGGCTCAGCATTGTTTCACCACAAACCTCTTCACCACTTACCGAAAACCCAGCTGCATCATTGCACGCATCATATGAATTAAATTTCGCGAATATCTACATATTTATGAAATTTTTTTCGCAAACAGCACTTCGCACTCTTTAATGCTCGCATTCCCCATATACTCACGCTGTTAAAATTTCACCACTTTCGCTAATCACCAGTAAATATTGACCCAGGCCTCCATGGAATTTCAAAAATATGTACACACGTACACACACTTATATATCACATCTATACAAACACACGGAACCGCACAAAAAACTATATGAGGGTGATGGGTGGTAACGATGACGTAGACTGTCGGCGAGTCAATATTAAAAGGTTGACAGCACGTGCAGTTCGTGAAAACCAATAAAACATAGAATGCAAATATATTTACATATTTGAGTGCGTGTGTATGTACCACATTTATGTATAAGCATTTGTAGTTTTTTGTTTTGTGGAAACCCGCCCTTAAGGAGAGTGACATATATTGTACATTTGACATTTATATTTGCTACAGTAGCTGTGACAGCATCCGAAAACTATGTAGCGCAACAACAATAACAATGCACAAGCAAACAATGGAAATTATTAGAAAATTAAACAATGTAGAAACCGAATTCAAATACAAACGACAACGTAGTAAAATAACGAGTACGACCAAGCTTAATACCTTGGTCGATTTTAATGAAATATAATTGTTGTTTAAATAAAAAATTTACCCAAGTATATTATAAACATATTTGACATGTGGCGACGTAAAAAAAAGGAAGGTTTTTTGCAAAAAAAAAATATATACACTTGCAGTGGCTTAAAAAAATTTGAATTGTAATAATCTCATTTCTTTGAACATTTTCTGACAAATATATCTGAGAAGGTAGTGTGAAAAATTCCAGCTATTTTCCGTTTCGGAGAAATTTTATTCACGGACTCTAAAAGCAACGCTTCGCGAAAAACGCGTTCATATCTCTGAAACTACTTGCTGTACTTAGCTGATCTGTTTACTATAAAAAACAAAAACGGTAGTAATATG